TGCTTTTGGATGCGTTTTTGGTCATAAAAAGGGTCTTCCTCTACTCGGATCTGGGTGTCAATTTTTTTCTACACTTTTCGGTGTATTTTGTGCAAGAATATGCAATAAAATCTTCTGCCTAAGAAAAATTGAATTTTTTTGGCAACTTTTTTATGCTTTTGGATGCGTTTTTGGTCATAAAAAGGGTCTTCCTCTACTCGGATCTGGGTGTCAATTTTTTTCTACACTTTTCGGTGTATTTTGTGCAAGAATATGCAATAAAATCTTCTGCCTAAGAAAAATTGAATTTTTTTGGCAACTTTTTTATGCTTTTGGATGCGTTTTTGGTCATAAAAAGGGTCTTCCTCTACTCGGATCTGGGTGTCAATTTTTTTCTACACTTTTCGGTGTATTTTGTGCAAGAATATGCAATAAAATCTTCTGCCTAAGAAAAATTGAATTTTTTTGGCAACTTTTTTATGCTTTTGGATGCGTTTTTGGTCATAAAAAGGGTCTTCCTCTACTCGGATCTGGGTGTCAATTTTTTTCTACACTTTTCGGTGTATTTTGTGCAAGAATATGCAATAAAATCTTCTGCCTAAGAAAAATTGAATTTTTTTGGCAACTTTTTTATGCTTTTGGATGCGTTTTTGGTCATAAAAAGGGTCTTCCTCTACTCGGATCTGGGTGTCAATTTTTTTCTACACTTTTCGGTGTATTTTGTGCAAGAATATGCAATAAAATCTTCTGCCTAAGAAAAATTGAATTTTTTTGGCAACTTTTTTATGATTTTGGATGCGTTTTTGGTCATAAAAAGGGTCTTCCTCTACTCGGATCTGGGTGTCAATTTTTTTCTACTCTTTTCGGTGTATTTTGTGCAAGAATATGCAATAAAATCTTCTGCCTAAGAAAAATTGAATTTTTTTGGCAACTTTTTTATGCTTTTGGATGCGTTTTTGGTCATAAAAAGGGTCTTCCTCTACTCGGATCTGGGTGTTAATTTTTTTCTACACTTTTCGGTGTATTTTGTGCAAGAATATGCAATAAAATCTTCTGCCTAAGAAAAATTGAATTTTTTTGGCAACTTTTTTATGCTTTTGGTTGCGTTTTTCGTCATAAAAAGGGTCTTCCTCTACTCGGATCTGGGTGTTAATTTTTTTCTACACTTTTCGGTGTATTTTGTGCAAGAATATGCAATAAAATCTTCTGCCTAAGAAAAATTGAATTTTTTTGGCAACTTTTTTATGCTTTTGGATGCGTTTTTGGTCATAAAAAGGGTCTTCCTCTACTCGGATCTGGGTGTCAATTTTTTTCTACACTTTTCGGTGTATTTTGTGCAAGAATATGCAATAAAATCTTCTGCCTAAGAAAAATTGAATTTTTTTGGCAACTTTTTTATGATTTTGGATGCGTTTTTGGTCATAAAAAGGGTCTTCCTCTACTCGGATCTGGGTGTCAATTTTTTTCTACACTTTTCGGTGTATTTTGTGCAAGAATATGCAATAAAATCTTCTGCCTAAGAAAAATTGAATTTTTTTGGCAACTTTTTTATGATTTTGGATGCGTTTTTGGTCATAAAAAGGGTCTTCCTCTACTCGGATCTGGGTGCCAATTTTTTTCTACACTTTTCGGTGTATTTTGTGCAAGAATATGCAATAAAATCTTCTGCCTAAGAAAAATTGAATTTTTTTGGCAACTTTTTTATGCTTTTGGATGCGTTTTTGGTCATAAAGAGGGTCTTCCTCTACTCGGATCTGGGTGTCAATTTTTTTCTACACTTTTCGGTGTATTTTGTGCAAGAATATGCAATAAAATCTTCTGCCTAAGAAAAATTGAATTTTTTTGGCAACTTTTTTATGATTTTGGATGTGTTTTTGGTCATAAAAAGGGTCTTCCTCTACTCGGATCTGGGTGTCAATTTTTTTCTACACTTTTCGGTGTATTTTGTGCAAGAATATGCAATAAAATCTTCTGCCTAAGAAAAATTGAATTTTTTTGGCAACTTTTTTATGATTTTGGATGCGTTTTTGGTCATAAAAAGGGTCTTCCTCTACTCGGATCTGGGTGCCAATTTTTTTCTACACTTTTCGGTGTATTTTGTGCAAGAATATGCAATAAAATCTTCTGCCTAAGAAAAATTGAATTTTTTTGGCAACTTTTTTATGCTTTTGGATGCGTTTTTGGTCATAAAAAGGGTCTTCCTCTACTCGGATCTGGGTGTCAATTTTTTTCTACACTTTTTGGTGTATTTTGTGCAAGAATATGCAATAAAATCTTCTGCCTAAGAAAAATTGAATTTTTTTGGCAACTTTTTTATGCTTTTGGATGCGTTTTTGGTCATAAAAAGGGTCTTCCTCTACTCGGATCTGGGTGTCAATTTTTTTCTACACTTTTCGGTGTATTTTGTGCAAGAATATGCAATAAAATCTTCTGCCTAAGAAAAATTGAATTTTTTTGGCAACTTTTTTATGCTTTTGGATGTGTTTTTGGTCATAAAAAGGGTCTTCCTCTACTCGGATCTGGGTGTCAATTTTTTTCTACACTTTTCGGTGTATTTTGTGCAAGAATATGCAATAAAATCTTCTGCCTAAGAAAAATTGAATTTTTTTGGCAACTTTTTTATGATTTTGGATGTGTTTTTGGTCATAAAAATGGGTTTTCCTCTACTCGGATCTGGTGTCAATTTTTTTCTACACTTTTCGGTGTATTTTGTGCAAGAATATGCAATAAAATCTTCTGCCTAAGAAAAATTGAATTTTTTTGGCAACTTTTTTATGCTTTTGGATGCGTTTTTGGTCATAAAAAGGGTTTTCCTCTACTCGGATCTGGGTGTCAATTTTTTTCTACACTTTTCGGTGTATTTTGTGCAAGAATATGCAATAAAATCTTCTGCCTAAGAAAAATTGAATTTTTTTGGCAACTTTTTTATGCTTTTGGATGCGTTTTTGGTCATAAAAAGGGTCTTCCTCTACTCGGATCTGGGTGTCAATTTTTTTCTACACTTTTCGGTGTATTTTGTGCAAGAATATGCAATAAAATCTTCTGCCTAAGAAAAATTGAATTTTTTTGGCAACTTTTTTATGATTTTGGATGTGTTTTTGGTCATAAAAAGGGTTTTCCTCTACTCGGATCTGGGTGTCAATTTTTTTTACACTTTTCGGTGTATTTTGTGCAAGAATATGCAATAAAATCTTCTGCCTAAGAAAAATTGAATTTTTTTGGCAACTTTTTTATGCTTTTGGATGCGTTTTTGGTCATAAAAAGGGTCTTCCTCTACTCGGATCTGGGTGTCAATTTTTTTCTACACTTTTCGGTGTATTTTGTGCAAGAATATGCAATAAAATCTTCTGCCTAAGAAAAATTGAATTTTTTTGGCAACTTTTTTATGCTTTTGGATGCGTTTTTGGTCATAAAAAGGGTCTTCCTCTACTCGGATCTGGGTGTTAATTTTTTTCTACACTTTTCGGTGTATTTTGTGCAAGAATATGCAATAAAATCTTCTGCCTAAGAAAAATTGAATTTTTTTGGCAACTTTTTTATGATTTTGGATGCATTTTTGATCATAAGAAGGGTCTTTCTCTACTCGGATCTGGGTGTCAATTTTTTTCTACACTTTTCGGTGTATTTTGTGCAAGAATATGCAATAAAATCTTCTGCCTAAGAAAAATTGAATTTTTTTGGCAACTTTTTTATGATTTTGGATGTGTTTTTGGTCATAAAAATGGGTTTTCCTCTACTCGGATCTGTGTGTCAATTTTTTTCTACACTTTTCGGTGTATTTTGTGCAAGAATATGCAATAAAATCTTCTGCCTAAGAAAAATTGAATTTTTTTGGCAACTTTTTTATGCTTTTGGATGCGTTTTTGGTCATAAAAAGGGTCTTCCTCTACTCGAATCTGGGTGTCAATTTTTTTCTACACTTTTCGGTGTATTTTGTGCAAGAATATGCAATAAAATCTTCTGCCTAAGAAAAATTGAATTTTTTTGGCAACTTTTTTATGCTTTTGGATGCGTTTTTGATCATAAAAAGGGTCTTCCTCTACTCGGATCTGGGTGTCAATTTTTTTCTACACTTTTCGGTGTATTTTGTGCAAGAATATGCAATAAAATCGTCTGCCTAAGAAAAATTGAATTTCTTGCTTCCTCGTGGAGGAAGCTTATTAGTCCTTTCGTTTATAAAACTTTTCAAAGTGGCGGAAACAAATTTTTTTCTTTATAGAAACATGTTGTATGAGATCCTGATCAATTGTCCGGATGTACACGGAAAGAATTAAATCAGTAGATTTTACAGAACTATCACGGAGTAGCGGATACAGCTCTTTACGAAACTGAGTGTCGTAAAATGTCACTAAATATTCAGGATAAACTTCAGAAATACTCAGTATAAACAATGAAATTTCTGTATTTTATCCGAAAATATCCATCACATTTTACAAAACTCTGTTTCGTAAAGAGCTGTATCCGCTACTCCGTCACAGTTTTGTAAAATATACTGAATTAATTTTTTTCCGTGTATGTGTGTGTGTGATCCTTTTTTGTTTAGAAGATAACTTTAACAGGTTTTAATGGATTTAGATAAAATTTAGTAGGCTCATTTATCATATTAATATCTCAAATCTGACCGAAGGATTTTGAAAAATACTCCAAAAAAAAATTTTATGGTTTTTTTCCAAAATTTTTTTTTAATCGAAAAACTTTTTAAATAGAAAATTTTAAGGTTATATATAATAAAATCATATTCTTTACGTCAAGACGAATCGATCGATATATATATATATATATAGTATTCATTTGAGGTAAATTTAAAGAATTAATGAAAGTTAAAAAATCAAAAATTCATATTTTGTCAATAAAATTTTGCTTTCTCCACGAGGAAGCAAATTTTTTTGCTGATCTTAATGAGGAAGTAAAATGTTCATGTAATGAACATCTGAATTTACAACTTGTTTTCTATTGCAATATATTAAAAAATGGTTGAATATTTATAATTATAAAAAAATTAAAATTATAGAGTTAAAAAATTGATATGCATTTTTTTTTTATTTATAAAAATAGAAAATATTAAGTACAAAATTTTCAATACTTTTTTCACATTTATCATATTAGGCACATTCATTAGGATTTTTTGTAATTTTTATATTCAATTGTTCAACAAGTTCTCTGAATACAACGGGATTCACATTCTCAGCAAGTTGATACAATATAAACCAATCTCCGAAAGGAAGTTCTCTTACCACATTTATGATTTTTTTCCTTTCAAGAAATCGAGTTTGTGCTTGCAATAAATAAATTCTTGCCCATGGATGCGTAAACATGACGAGTCTATAAAAACGTATTTATAAATAATTATTATATAATTAATTAATAAAATAAAATAAAATTTATAGTAAAAAAAAAAAAAAAATACCTGTAGATTATGGTAATTGTGCCAAGAATACAAAGAATAATTAACCAAAACCATAAAATAATAAATATCTTTTCATTTATAATATTGAGTGACAAAATGCAAAATGCATCGTAATATTGAATTGTTCCTGAGGGACCGTAGGTGTTTAGTGTGCATTTTCCAGTCAATGGGAAAATTTGTTTTAAAGGATCAATCATTTTTTTAGTATCGTATGCTGTTGCAAATGTCACTGCAGCGGGTCCAAGTAGAGAAAATTTTCCATTTAGCAATAGATCAAGAAAGTAAATTTGGCTTATCTGCGGAATAAAGCAAAAAAAGTTTAATTTTTAGTTATTTATAATAGTACCTTTTTATTGAATAAATTCGACTTACGGAATTTAAAAGATTGAGTAATTCACAAACAAAGAAACGAATAGCATAAAAATTATTCGAATTCATATAGGAATTAGAAAAATAATTAGTGAGATGATTTCGTTTTTCTTCAGTCCAAACATTCTGTGCTAGAGGAGTTGCTAAATCTTTTGCGAGAAAACTCATAATATTTCGTTCCCAAACGATCCATAAGGCACGAGGTATGTAAAACATAAGTGCTTGTAGTCCAAGGAATAAGCAAACCTATTCGAAAAAAAAACCAAGTGATTTAATAAATCAATAAATATTAATTTCAATAAATTAAATTTTTTTTTTTAAATGTAAATTTTCTTTTTTTTTTAAAGTGAAAAGTTTACAAACCCATTTGTAATATTGTTGTTCAATCAAATCGGATTCATTTTGAGATGGACGCATTCCCAAACCAGCATTGTCGATTCCTTTGATTCCTGGTGTTTTCTCAGCAACTATAGCTGTGCTTGTAACCCAACAAAATGAATTTATCGCTTCTATTGCTGTTGGGGGAAAAAAAAATTCAATCAATTAATTCCAATTTGAAGACAACAATTAATAAAAATCATATAAAATCGTTGAAAAAAAAAAAATAATTTAATTATTTTCGTCATTGATTTTTCGTATATAACAGTTCTTTTAAATTAAAATGATCATTTGTCTTGATCCTTGAAAGATACTGTAAAACTATCTTTAAGAAAATGAACTTAGCCCGAGCTTAACGGCTTCCTTTAATATTGAACTTCTGTTAGAAAAGGTAGGCAAGCTGAGAGTGAGAGAGGAGAGTAAGCCGATAACTTTTAATAGCTTCGAGTAATCTTCCTTCGTCTTTTCCAGGGTTGGAAAATTTGTTCTGATGCTTGTTCCTTATATTCGAACACACGTTGATTATTTTATGCTCTACTTTTTCTCCATTGAAAACTTTATAACACTCTTATCGGTCAAATGGCTCGCAGGTGAAACGAGCAACTTTTCTTACATATTTTATATTTATATACGGTTATATCACAAAACGTAGAGAAAAAATAATTTTTTTTTTTTTCCCCTCGTGAATGAAAATGTTGATTTTTTTTTCAATTTCACAAAATAGAAAATAGTAAATAACATATCCTTTAAAATATAATTTATGAAAAAAAAAAGATTTTCTAAGTCAAATACAAGAAAATAAATTTTTATATTATAGAGAAAAAAAAAATTCTCTGATAAAATTCGAAGACACTTTAGAGAATTCTGAAGGTAAACATTCACCTTTGTCTTTGTTCAAGTATACCTGGACATTGGTGCTTCAGGCAGTCTGTGGCTTTTAGTCACTTTGTACTCAACAGAACTTGAGTTTGAGAGAGATGACACTTTTCAATTGCAAACGCGCTCAAGGATATTTTCCTTTTTTATCCCCTCCCATAAACTCTCAACTCTATACTAAAGAGAGTAGAATAAAAAATAAGATTTTTTTTTTTTCTTTTTTTAATTGGACCCTTTAGACGTAATTTAAAAATAAAAATAAATATAAAGCCTGGAATGAAAGAAAAAAAGTAAGCAAGAAGAAGGCCATTTTCGATTATCGGAAAACGTTTAGTTACGTTCGTATGGAATGACTTGAAATATAATTTTGGGGGCAGGGCCGGCGGGCAGAAATATTACGTAGATCGCTCGCGTCAAGAAATCACAGCAGGGAAAACGAATTTAATCGAGCGGAATCGTGCTTTTGCGACGAAGATCTAATGACTCTTTATTCCAAGAAATGAGTCGCTATATAACTTCACTGCTCGTTAGCTCGATATTAGTACAAAAAAAAAAAAAAAAAAAAAGAAATCCAATATTTCTGCAAAAAATAAAGTAATACAACCAAGTTAATAAAGAATTTAAAAAAAAAAATATTAGTTCCCTAAAAACTAAATTGTAAATAAAAGGAAATATTTTCTAAGCAAACATAGATATTATTTATATAAACAAAGTACTTACGTATATTTGAATTCTCAGTTCTAAAGCAGTTAATTGGATTGCCAAAATAGGTTTTAAATGTAAGAAGTGCTGAACAAAGTGTCAAAAATAAAACAGTAGCACGTGTGTAAATTCGAAAGACAACATTGTCAATGCAAACTGGATCATATATCACTAGTTTTCTAATTTCATTGACTAATTCCAGCATATTATTATTATTATTATTATTATTTTCTTTTTTATTGCTGCGTAAATCACACAAAGAATGACGTTTCACTTTCGATTATGCATTGATATCCGGTTTTTGATGTTGAATTTTTGCATAGTTTCAGGGATACCGGAAGTCGTTGTCTGCTAGAAGTTTTTTTTTTTCTGCGTACACAAAAGTTTTAATGAGTTGTTAATTTCTTCAAATTACATATTGACAATTTAGATGGAATTATATTATCAGATATATATGCTTTTCGTAAATTATGTTATTTCATATAGTTCTATATATACAGTTATCAAAGGAAGTGTACTATATATTTGCAAGTTCTGAATCCATGTTGAAGTTCATTCAAGTAGAGAAGCGGAAGCTACATTACTGCCTGAATTTAATGGTAATCATCCAGATTTTCTGACGTAATAATAACTTGAGTTAAAGGACCACTTATTAATAATTGCTCTTCGAAACTTGGAATTTGCGTCTGATGGTGAATTTTTTTGCAATTTTGGCACAAATGCGTCTTTCAATGATAGTGAGGTTATGTTTGACATTTAAAGTTTAAACAGGTATGCACTGTTTTTATTCTTAATTACTATTATTTATTAGGTATTATTATTACTATTTATTATTATTGGAAGATTGTTATTATTATTTATTATTATTATTATTATTTTAAGGTTATTATATTATTTGAATAATATTTAGTTTTTCATATAATAAACGATTTATTAAATAATGAAAAATATTCGGTTTAAATGAAAATAGAATAAATTTTTAATTAATTTTTTTTTTCTTTATTTATATCAGTAAAATGAATGATTGAAATTTATTCTTGTCTAGTAGTAAGAAGTCGTTATTGTCAGCCAAGGTACGTCTGACCGAGAAATAGTTTTATCTACTTAGATATTCTCTCTGTTCTTCTCACGTTCTTGTTTCGGTTATGTTAAAATGGATATTAGTTATTTTATTATAAATTGACACTTTAACGGTACAGTTAACTTTTTAAATTATATCCGAAAAATTACATTTTTTTTATAAACATAAATTTTATTTTTATATGATAATAATTTATATTATTATTTATATTTTATTTTCCTTGAATATTGAATATTTTTTTATAATTTAAAAAATAAATAGCTATGCAAAAAAATATATAATCTGGAAATTCCAATACGTATCCTTTCAGCTTTCACGAATGGTTGTATAACGTTAAATTGGACTTTGCAGAAAATATATATATATAAGAAAAAAAAACGAAAAAGAAAGGTTAATGCTTTAATTTGCAACTTAAAAGAAATTGCTAGCCACGAGGCAATGCTTCGGATTTATAAGAGCATTTGAACAAAGGAGATCAAGAGCTTAGTTACCCTGTGGAAACCATTTTCTATTAATCCTCATTTAAAAGTTCATTAAAAGAATGTAATATGATAAAAACGACTAATCATTTCAATAATTAAATTTTCTTGCAAATTCAATTTTTTAATATTAATAAATTAATCGTTTTTACAATTGAATATTAATATTTTAATATATTTTTTTTTAATATTTATTTTGATAGAAATATTGTAAAGGATGGGAAATATTTGCAAAATAAAAAAGGAATAGATGAGAATTTATTTATAAAAAAAAAATATATATATATAAAAAAATTGTTTGTCTTCACTGACGAGCATAGTCTTTATTAGTAAAAAATATAATGATCATCATTACAATTATAAATACAAGGTAATTTAATACCAGGTGTGTACAATTTGTTCGATGTAATTGTATATTTAATATTGTGAAGTTTAAATATCTGCGTGTACAATTACCTTGTTTTTTTTTTTATGTCGATTTTTATATGATTGCTAACAATGTTTTACTACATCTAATTAAACACGAGCTATTTACAAACCATGATACAAGAGAGTATTTTTTCTCTATCATTATACTCCAGAAAAAATTGTATCATTCTGTTAATCGTTTTCTTTTTTGTTTTTCAATTTTTAATATACACACACAATTTTGTTGCCACCTCCAAAATTAGTAAATTTTATTGATTTATTAATTTAATTTCTATAAATTAAATTAATAAATTCAATTAATAAATTTTATAAACAAATTTATTAATTACTTTTGTTAATATATAATTGGAAATCCGAAACATATTGGAAAATTAATTTTTTTTTTTAACAATTTATCGTGATTAGAACAAAGATTTTTTATATGCTTTAACGTTTATATACAAAATTATATTATATATATTATAAATAGTTTTTTTTTGTTAATCAATTTAAAATATATGAGTAGTAAAGATATTAATTAACATTGAAAACGACTTTTTTTCTGCACATTTCTCTTTTGTGAAACATCAACGAATTTAACATTTTTTTTTTTTTTTTTTTTGCCTCTCATTTTAATGAAACTTCTGCTTTTTCAGACTCGAATTTACTATACATATAGTCAGGAAACTGGTTTTGCCGGAAATACATATTCATAACGCAAATCTTGTACAGCATACAAAAAATTCGATTACTTTGTTCTCATATCATTTTGCGCATCCTCATAGTTTTCTTCCGTCCGCGATAATCCAGAAATTTATAATTTTAAAAAATATTTCTTCTTATATATAATTTCTTATTTTATTTTTCAACAACTATTTAATTCTTATTTTTATAAATAAAAAGGAAATTAAATTTTAATTAAATTTTTCATTAACTTCTCTGTTTTTGTTTGTTACAGAAGCGCATTTCATCCACTTTCCATGATTGCAGATATAAAAAAAAAGACAACGAGGTATGATAAAATATATTAAATAATAATAATAATAATAATAATAATAATGAAAGAATCTCTCTGAGAAATAAATGCACTAGATCCTTTGTTTTCTCACTTTTATCATAATTAATTAACAGCTTTTTTTTCTAATTACTTTGTCTTTGTAATAAATTTAAATGAAAGTGAAGTTGCATATACATATTTCTCTGATGGAAATGAATTAATATTGACTATATGAATTTAATATTCATTTAATGATAATATTTGATTATTTATAAATTATTTTAATTAAATTAGAAATTTTAATTTCATTAATTCTTTTGAGTTTTTAATTTTTACAATTAAATTACTGTATTTAAATTTAAAATAAAATTTAAATTTACATTCAAATGAGATTTTTTTTTTAAATTTAAACTCATGAAAGAAATATTTTAAGAAAAAGTTGAGCATTTCATTTTAAGGGAAATATTCAAAGTCTATTTCGGTTTTATAAACTTTTTTTTTCTTACAAATATCAATAAATCAACTGATTTATCGAGAATACCTTCTTCGAGAAATTATAATCTATCGATCAAATTTTACTTGAAGGGAAAGGCATTTTGCTAATCTAATATCCGCTTTTCTATCTCAATGTCGTGTTTGGTATATGTTCTAAACTTTGCATATGCCATCCATAATTTTGTAACAGCTGTTTCATCTTTTTTTTTTCAAATTTATTTTCAACACCTGTTTACAAATTTCTTTTTTTTCACAAAAAAAAAAAAACGAAGAAATAGTTTTAAAACAATTTTGATTACACTTTTTTTATTATTCCAATAATGTTTCTAATAAATTTTAGATTAAATTTTCACTTTAAAAAGTAATAAAATCTTCCGAGAGAATAAGTAACAAAAAATAAAACTAAAGTTTCTTGAGTTTTTAAACGATTTCTTAATTAGATTTCTTGTAAACCATTCACGTTACAATGCGCCTGTAAAATTTAAATCAAATCATTCATTTCACCGGACCAGATATTTGATATTCTGTGATTCTATTTTCCCCCATCAAAGACTTGTCCAGTAAAGTTTTAACGATTCCGCAGTTTACAAAATGAAGAGATGAAACAAAATTCTCTCGGTAATTTATAAACTCGGGATAGTAAAAAATGGAAAACTTTTTTTTTTTTTTTTTTTAAATTCAAAGTATTAGATTAAAATTTCTCGAGGGTTAATTTAATCCTCTTTCGTAACTTCTCTCGAGAAAGAAAGAGAGAAAGAGAGAGAGAGAAGTTCAACAGAAAGTTTTTTTTTAAATTGATAAACTCGAGTAAAAAATCATGATATTGATAAGTTGAAAGTTTCTCAAGTGCAACTTTATACTTTCAATGAATTAAATAACCACCCTGGAAAAGGAAACAGAGATATGAGAGTGTCTTATTGCTTTCAAAAAGACCACATTCTCTAAGCGTATTCGATCTTTTGATCGTTTCAAGTTTTAGAGAAATAATCTCAGCTTTCAGATAACTTTTTGTGTTCTGTGATTCATCGAGGATCTCTTTTCCTTTTTTTTTTCTTCTTCTTCTTTTCCCCCTTTAATGTCACCGCGCGCGGCTCCTTTTGTTGGAACTGCAAAAGTCAGACTTTGAATCTTTTTCTCCTTTATTCGTCGACAAATGAAATCGCTCGATTTTCTCCAAAAATTTCTTTCAAGTGGAAATATTTAATATTTCGCTACATTATCGTTAAGAATTTTTGTTTTTCTTTTCTTAATAAAATTTAATAAATTTGTTATTTACTATCAATCCGATTTTTTAAAATTGAAATCTTCAATTTACTAAAACTAGAGAAAAACTATTGAATGTTATAATCAAGATTAATTTAAATATAAGAATATTTTTTTTCTTTCTTTTTTTTTTAAATTTCAAAACTGAAATATTTTTTACACGAAGAAAAAGTGGATTTAGACAATTTTTATTTTATGAAACTGATTAGAAATTTAAAATAACTTTTTTTCGGATTTTACGAGGCTAGCACTGAGAGAACTAGAGTTCCAATATTTATGACAAAACCTGATCGTAAAACATGGTCAGTCAGCTCAGGCAAAAGTTTTCAAGTTGATGTTTTTAAGAGTCCGTTATGTTTTAAAGATAAAATTACTTATTTTGAGAGGAGAAACTTCCTTTATATTTTTGTTACAAATACAAATTTGTTTTTCAAATTATCATAAAATTTCACGAATAATTATAAAAAAGAAAATAATTTAAAAAAAAAAATTATTAAAGAATTGTTAAAATGATTTAATAGAAATAAAAATTGTTTTTGTTTATCGTGGAAATATTATATAATATTATTAAAACACCTCTAGGGCTCGAAGCTGTCAAACAACGGAAGTTCCTCCTCAAATCATAATCTATATGGATTACTTGAGAGAAGAGAGATCCAGTCTCCCTAGAATCTACTCTCTTACAAACAAAAGCTTCTTCGCTCTTTGTTCACAAGAGAGACTGGAAGTGTCTCGAACGAGTATCTGTACAGTACTTTACTGAGTCTTTAGTATTACGAAGACAAGAGGGGCAGTGATATTTTATATATATATATATATATATATTATTTTGCATAATATATTCTGGAACTTTTCGGCAATTTTGACAAATTTGCAAAGTTGTCTTAAGATAGTTTACGTACGATAGTCTCAAAATTATTCCAAATATTTTTATCAATTTTTTTTTTAATCAGTGACTATCGCAGGTTAACCTTAATTTCAAAATCCGCGAGAGAAAATAATTTCCAAAAAAAAAATGAGGTGGAAAATCGAACAAATCGTCAGACTGAATTGCGGCAGTGTTTTTTTTTAATATTCAAAATAAGTCTCGATTTTGATAATTATTACAAATATGTTTCATGTTTTATCATTTGTAAATAAGAGAAATCTCGTTAAGAGAATCTCTCTCTCTTTCTCTCTCTCTCTCCTCCTTTGAAAGCAGAGATATCTTCCAAGTTTCTCTGCTAATACTAATTAGATTGTAACTAACAAGTGAGATCCGGACTTGGAGACCAGACGTTCAAAGCAGTCATAATAAGAGAGTGAATAGAAAGTCGACTAATGTTATCGGATTCCTATTCAGTTACAATATTTCCGAAACCAATCTCATCAGTATCTCTATAGATTGGATACTTTTTTCTTTTTAAACTCATTCAGCCATATATAAGTTACAATACAACTTAATTATACATATAATATATATTGTAACCTATAGTTTTGACTTTTTTTTTTAATCATCTTTTATATTATTTCTCTACTTAAACTAGATTCTCACCATTGACTATATACTCCCCCTGAGAACTTAGAACAGTTCGCTCAATCAACACCAGGATAACAAAATATGTCCATTTATAATAATAATTATCTCACGCGGTCAATCCTGATGTTATTAAAATCTAAAATTAACAAGATTATCTCTGGCCAATATTATCCGGCGCTTTATTTCTCAAATCCTTAATCAAAATGATCATTAAAATGATCGATTCATTCATTCATCGTCAAATTTATCTAAATTAAATTATAGAAAATCTTTCTAATCCAAATTATTAGAATAAAGAAATTTATAATGTTGATTTTCATAAAATATAATTATAATTTTAATTGAATTGGATATCTCTTTACCTGAAAATTTACTGTTTTTATAATAAATAAATTTATGCAATTGAATTTATTATTAACAGAAATTTGATTTGATTCCTGCTAAATGAAAATTTGTTGAAATAAAAATTCTATTTAATGAAAATTTATGAAACTAAATAATTCTTTAACATATTTAAATGGTAATAAATAAGAATGAGAAAAAATGTAAATTCCAGTAAATTTGATCCAGGAAAAATAGTAGACAACCTGAATATTATTATTATTGTGAATGGCACATTATTAATAGGGCACGTGAATGTCCCTTGATCGACTTCTTCGTCGACAAACTCGACAAACAGTAATCAGACACACGAGGCCAAACAAAACAGCCAAACCAGCACCCAATCCAGCGCCAGCCCATCCAGCAGGCCCAACACTACTACCATTGCCACCAATCGGTCCACCGCATGTCTCAATTGATTCATCATCCGGCTCAAGCATACTCATATTGAATACACCCGTTGGTAATTTTGGCAATGGACAATTAATAACTCCATTGCATAGAAGACGATTTGGTATACAACCCGCATCTCCCGGACATTGAAATCCACATTCCTCAAGTCTTTGTGTATTCAATGCTCCAGTTCCATCACGTGACAAATGATACAATTCCGTCCAAGTGATCTTAAACTCAGCGCGCGTCAATGCCATCGATCCAGTGAATTGAATCACTATTCCCGATTCTCGTCCCGAGTCCAATGATAAAAGTTGTGCCGCCGACAATATTGGCACCTCCTTCGCCTGACTCACATTCTCACCGCATATACTGAAAAATGAATCCGTCGATCCCGGCAAAATAATCTCAATTTTTCCATCCTCACACGATCGTGAACCAAATTTGGTCTTATCAAAATGCAAAAAAAGATCCCTCTCCGGACTCACTTTCAATTCCCAAATGCATTTTATTGATCTTGGCGGTGTCACATAGCCCAAAGCCTCATAATGAGGAAATTCAATTTCGCCATCAGTTGTGGCGGGTAATATCGCCGGACCACACAGTGGACTATGGGCAAATTCATATCTCGCCTCAAAAAGTGGTGCCGTTTGTTTAAAATAACTCGCCGTATGAGCGCCATCGATAATTAATTTCAAATCCAATCTTTCGCCCCTTGAAACAATTCTCAACGGTGGATTACCACTGCTCAATCGACATAAACAATGTCCCTTCACCGTGTCCGATGATGGCTCTCTAATAATCACTTTATCAGCCCTACTATCCCAACAATGACCACATTGCGCATAAGGATGATCCTTAAATGACACCGACTCCACCGTCAATATAACTCTTGCAAATAATCTTTTATCAGTGATAAAACTATACGTACAAGTCACATCCAATGCCGGATCACTGGCACGTTTAAAAACCATTGTATTCAATGGCGAACGTAAACGTCCACTTTGAAATTTCCACGCTGCAAATGTCTCATCACATTCTGTATTTGCCACAGGTTCACCAAATTTCGTGTCATTAAAAAAATCATAATGCGCCCAATAATAAAGCGAACTACCCGAATAACTTCCCGTTTTACTTTCAAAACGTACAAACAATGCATTGCTACTTGAGACAAAATCATGTTTCTCCATTGGTTTACTAAATGTATCACAAAATGTTTTAATAATTCTTGCATCGTCAGGCCAATCAGCATCATATAATGTTAAACTCTCACCACAATCACCATCATATGGTTGTATTGGCGATTCAATACGATTAACTCGAAAACTTGGAAAATAAAGTCGTACAATTTCACCAGGTCTTCCTTTTAAGAGATATGTGCAACTAGTGTGCGGTGGATACCAATGTGCAACCGATAAAAATATCCCCTCTTCCCCCTTCTTCAATGATTCACTGTTCAACAACCAATCACAACTTCCATTCTTAACACCGGTACTTTCCACCTGACCTGGCCAATTGCCAACGTTAAAATGAAATCCAGTATTTAATAATGGTCCAGCTGGCGAGGAGACAAATTCCACATAAAGATCCATACTTGTACCAATTATACTATAGGGAAATTTACCCATACCACAAAATGTACCAATAACTTGTGAATTCTCATCTTGTCCATCGTAAACACGTATATAATCATAGGGACAATGTTCCGATCCTGATGATATTGGCCTCATTGGACATGTCATTATATTCTCACAACGTTGACCATCAATATTAAATTCTTCATTTTCAATATAAAGTTTAATGAATGGCACTCTTGTATTTAATTTATATTTACAGTGTAGTGCACGTGGATAAATACCAGGATATGCTGGACTTTGTACATAACATGTTTGTAGGCGGCAATCTTTAAATATTCTCTCACAATAACTACCGGCAACAACTTCACCGCGACGATTTGGATAAAGTTCAGGATGTTGTCCATAACGTAAATAAACCTCAAATTGTTGTTCTGCACGTGAATCGAAACTAAAATAAGTTTGATCGGTGAAATTGTCCGTGTGGAAGAGAACTTTAACGAAACTTGTCTCCGATATAAATGTTTGTGGTTGTTCTGATTCACCGCAAAATACTCCCGTTTCCTTTCTATTGCTCACCTCCGTTTTTGCATTGCCATCAGTTATCTGTAACAGGGAAATTTTCATTTTAGAATAATTTGTCTAAATATTTTAATTAAAAAAAAAAAATTCAACAATATTAATCATTTAGTAGGATTTTTATTGAATTTGAATATTTATTCTTAAAAAAATTACCGACACAGAAATCTACCTTACCGACTGCTGGTAAAACAGTTTTTTTTGAAAAGTGAAAATATAAAAAATTACCGACACAGAAATCTACCTTACCGACTGATGATAAAAATTTCTAGAATTCCTCTTTAAAAATTTTACCATCAGTCGGTAAGGTAGATTTCTGTGTCGGTAATTTTTTATATTTTCATTTAAAAAACTGTGTTACCATCAGTCGGTATAGTAGATTTCTGTGTCGGTAATTTTTTATATTTTCATTTTTCAAAAAAACTGTTTTACCATCAGTCGTTATGGTAGATTTATATGTCGGTAATTTTTATATTTTGATTTTTTTAATGAAACTGTTTTACTATCAGTCGGTAATGTAGATTTCTGTATCGGTAATTTTTTACTAAAAATATTTTCTGTGCAATAAAATTCTACCTAATAAAAATTTATTTAATTCTGTTAAATAAAAATTCAAATAAATATAAATTCGTCTAAAAGAAAATTCGATCTAATAAAAATCTTAATTAATTCTATTCAATAAAAATTTTAATAAAATTAATTTTGGACAGTTTTTATGCGTCTCGAAATTTCGGACAAATAAAATGTTTGGGCAAAGAAAAGTCCGAACTAAAAGAAAATTTTCCAATAAATGATAATAAGAATAAATTGGGGACAAATGGAAAATTTGGATTAATGAATTTTGATCAAGTGGTGAAGTAATCTATCAAAATGAAAATATATTGGAGAAAGTATATATACAACCCACTTTATATTAGTTTAGTGTCAAGTATGACAAATTACATGACAAATTGGTGAAAATGATTTTGAAAAATAGTTCCTTTTGATGAAGCGTCAACCTATTGTATATTGTTAATTTAAAAGTTTTTTTTTTTTTTTTTGTTTCATACATAGCTCGTAAAGCTGAAATAAATGAAAGTTCTAAAACGTTGTAGAACACAAGCGGAACTTTTGATGCAGAAAGCGAGTCAACGGAATATATATATATATATAGCAGGATATGAGAATTCCTTGTCCTCCTTCAACCTTTATTCTCTGCAGTATAGTATAACGCATGTTGAAAGCACTAGTAGTACCAGCCTGCCGTTTCTGCTATAGTCGTTCAGTCATATGTATTCCGTGTCGACTCGACATCATTCATCTAATTCCAAACAGGCTCATATATATATAGTGTGATTTACTTTTTTTACAGTTGCATTTTTGCTTTTTTGATATATATTTTCACACAAAATGCGAAAGATTCTATAAATATTTATGTGCAATTTAATTTCATCCAGATGGATGATATATATATATAAATTTCAATTTTGCAGTTTTAGGCTTCTCGAATAGCATTTGTATCACTTTAGGTGTGTAGAGAAATATAGATTTTTTTTTTTGAAATTTCATTTTCAATGTAAATTCTCGTTTTGTTTTTGTTTTTAAATTAAAAAGCAAAAGGTTTAAATTTTTTTGATTTGGAAAACGAGGTTCAAAAATTTCTTCCAAAGCAGTGCCAAATAATTATTAGCTACATTGAAAAAAAAAATTTATTTGGTTCAATGAATCGGTTATTTGACTTCTATCAAATAAATATTTATTTTTAACAAATAATTATTATTATTTAAGCCAATAAAATGGTATTTCTTTCAAATACAGTTTATTTAATTCAATTATTTGATTTCAAAAATTATTTGGTTCAAGTAAATATTTATTTGATAATTGACAAGTAACCGATTATTTTTTCATTGTAGATATGCAATAGTTATTCAAAATGACTGATTGGTTTATTAAAAATAAAATATCTTGACATCATCAAAATGAAATGACAATTAGATTATATTTAAAAATTAAAATTAGTTGAAACGCTTTGGTTATATAATATATTTATGCATTTCTGTCAAAAGGAGATTCCTGCAAATATAGATATATGGAATTTGGGGAATTTTCACGCGTCACATATTTTATCTTCCGAATTTTCTATAAAGGTCTTTGAATTGAAATATTCTGAAATAGCTTTTAAAAATATAAAATCTTGATTCTGTGATATATAAATGTATTTTTAAGTAATTGAAATGTCATGAAGTCGATATACAAGTTTCATATATATATATATATATTATATTTTACATATTTTACGTATATACAAAAATATGATATATCAAAATAATTGAAATATCTTAAGATTAAATTTTTTGAATGTTTATCATAAATAATATTTGTGATAAAATAAATAGAATAATATTTATGATATTTTTCAATTATTTTTAAATTAAAATCTTAGCCTTCTTTTTGAATTCTCTACACTGAAAAAAATTAATTTATTTGATTCAAATAATCAGATATTCAATTATATTATCAAATAAATATTTACTTGAAACAAAAAAAAAATTTGAATTAAATATACTGTATTATGGTTATTTCACCTTACCGATAGATGTTAAAATATTTTGAAAAATAAAAATATAAAAAATCACCATCAGTTGGTAAGGTAGATTACTATGTCGGCAATTTTTATATTTTCATTGGTCAAAATCGATAATAGTTATTTAATTTTATCATACAATATAGAAATTAAAGTTTTCAAAACAATTGACTTGTATTAGATTGAGGGATTAAAGAAATTGTGTTCATATACGATTTCTTAGAATTTTAAGACAAAAGCCGTTAAAGTTATGAACTCGGTAAAATTATAAGCCGATATTTCAGACGCAGCTTTGATTTTCTGCAGAAAGTTTAAACTGTTTTCAACTTTGAAATATGTCCAGTTTTCCACTGAACACACAGTAGTTGCATTACGTTGTTGATATGTCAAATGGGAAATTTCAAAGGTGGCTTGTTGATTAGGATTTGTTATTGCATGACGTGCACAAAGCTTTGCGGTTCAAATTTAACACAACCTCGGAAATTATATATATAGTCTATAATAGAGAAACCAGTTCCATACATAATTATATCTTTTGTATAATAATAAATATTTCCATTAATGTATTTGTTTAACATTTTTGTATAATTGCATTACATTCAAAATTAATGATAATATATGGTAATTTCGCAAAACTCGAGTTAATGAAGCTAAAGCTCCTCTCATGTACCGGATATTAAAAGGCGCACTGTGACTTCCTAATATGCTTGACGGTATTAAAATATGTTATATATATATATATATTATATAGGTAAATTAACATGAGTCGAAGAGGCAAAAGTCCTCTTTCCCAAAAGCTCTCAGTAGAGAATATAAGCGAGAGAGAGAGAGAGAGAGAGAGAGAGAATTCCCACTTTAGTTGAGAGAGAAATTGCGGGAGTTACTAGGAGATAGAACATTAAATTCAGTATTGTATTGGGTTCGCAGGTATAGTTTTGAACGCGTGCAGTCTCTAGAGAGAGAGTGAGAGTTGGGGGAGAGGACGTCGCACTCCCTCCTAAATATATATGATGATAAGATAATATCCTAGTTCAATCCTTGGAGAACAGCAAACTTTTCTCAAAAAAAAATCAATTAGTCACTCAATTTTTATTTCATATACAAAATTCGACTAAATAAATAGAAAAAAAGAAATTATTTATTAATTATATTAATTAAAATAAAAAATTACATTAAACGAATTTCTATTTAGCTGAATTTTATTAAGTATATATATAATTCTAAATTATTTATTTAGCTAAATAAAATTCGGCTAAATAAAAATTCGTGTCATAAAAAATATTAAATTAAACAAATATTTTTTTTGTCCAATTTAATAATTATTTTCGGTTTAACTTAATAATAGTAAATGTAAATTATTTTACTGTAAAATAGTAATATCTTGGGGGAATTATACTGACTGCAATGAACTTGGACTAACAAGGTATTTGAATAGTCATTGCCCTCTGGAAGCTAATGCATTTAAGTAAGAGAGCAACCCCTATCTCAAATTGTAATAGTAATTTCTCCAAGATGTCTGGCAGTTTAGAGAGATGTAACGAGCGAGGTTTTGACCTAAAGGTTCTCCGGCTATATTGACAAAATCTATATAAATTATATATATATCATATAGCTTAATGGTACATTTATTTGATTTCAAATAATAATCCGATTCTATTGATTTTTTATCATATTTTTTTTTATATAAAATTAAACGCCCGGAAAGAAATAAAAATCAGAGTCGGGAAGAATCGAACCCAGGTCCGTACGTCTGAAATTTCAGTAGAGAAGCCACACGGCCGTTTCTCTTATTCAGAAGTTAAATTTGATTCCAAGATTTCTGTTCAATAATTATTTTTTTTAATAATGTATTAACGTATTATTAAATTAAATTTATATTCAGTTTATATAGAAATTTTTATTTTCTCGAAATTTTATGTGTCCGTATTTTCATTTGTTGAAAATTTTGGACAAAAAGTTATTAAAAGAAAAGAAAGAAAATGTAAGTTTCAAAATTGAAATTTTTGATAAAACAATTTTTCATCGTTGACTTTGTAACTTTATAGAAGATTCTTTAAATGATTTATGAGTTTCTATTTTATAGTGTTATCTACAAGGGGGTAAATATATCACCAACCGTCGAGTCTGTCACATTATTTTGATTTAGAATCTTTTTCAATTGTATATAATTGTAATAAATAACTTAGGTTTGAGAATTTTTTTTTTCAGAAAAAAGATGATTGAGAGAATTCACGAGAATTAAATTAATTATGCAATTATATTTGTGGTTTTAATTATTGTAATGATAATTTTTTTTTATTTTTCAGTCAATGCCCATATGAGAATATGAAGGACAGGAATTATTTGGATGAAGAAAAGTGGTCCCAGCGTATTGCCGTATTTTTTTTTTTTTTGTGTAATTTTTGTTTAAGTACGGTAACTCCCGACCTCCGCAGAAGTGCAATCAAGAGGAGGGATCTTCGGG